GGTAGATAGGTTATATTTACACCATAACGGTGCACAGCTGATAGAAAAGGACTTGTAGTTTTTAAAGATATTACTGATTTTCTTTGAATTAAAGAATGTAAATACTGAGTTGAGAGAATAGTCAGGGGATTTGGGTGATGGGAGACACATCTATGGAATCACAATTTCAATAGCTTACCATTACATGACGGATATACCTTTCTGTCTGTGATGTTTTACAAATCAGATATTAATGTTAGAAGTAAAACATAAGAAATAGTATAGCAATATCCTGTAAAATTATGTAAAAACATGAATAAAACTACACATCTTCAGATGTTATACATACATAAGTGTCCTACACTAATAATACAAAGTTATTATTAGTATGCTGTGTGTACCTTGTGTGCACCGCCTAGTGGTTAAAGCACGTTATTGAATTATTTTTGTTGAATAATGCTATTTGATGAAAAAAATACATACATACTTTCATAGGGGGAAAGTAGAAGGTCAATGATAGAAATATAGAATATAAAAAATTAAGAAGATACTGTAAGTGATCTCTACAATAAAACAGTTTAGTGCACGATGTACAAAGATATTAATATGAGGATGTGCAAAACAGACAAACTAATTAACCTTTATTAACACATTAAAGAATACTTTAGCTTAAGGACTTCTTTAAAAAAAAGCTTTGGGGGTATCTACACTTAAATATTAAGCCTGACAAAGTACTTAACGTCTAATATATTGCTTTCCTGCAATGTTAACTATGTTGAAGCACTTATTTTAACTGATATTATACACATTAACTATACTCTTATGTATGTAGATAGTATAAGAAATGCGCAGAATTTGACAGTTTAATGGTGGAGGTATACACACATATTGTAATGCACTGTTGAGGAACCTGTGACCCAAGTGTTTCATTCATAATTACACCGTAGTTGTGTATATGATATGTCAATAAACCTTAGAAAATCTTGAAATCTTGAAAGGGATGTGCAAAATAGCCATTATATACAGTCTTTAATTAACTATTAGTAGAGAATAACGAGTCATGAATATACTTTATAGAGATCTGCAGATAAATGTTTAGTCTTCTCAAGCACCAACTATCAAATATCTCTCCTGATTGTTGGCACTTGACAATCACCTTCCCTGAATTTTACTCAGGTGTAACTAAAGTCTGCTTTAAGGGTTGTTTATATTTCACATAATTAATCAGAATCTGCAAAGTAACTAAAATAAGTGTAGTGGAGTAAAAATACCAGGTTAACCTCTGAATTGTAGTGGAGTAGAATTACAAAGTAACAATGAGCTGTCATGTGGGTATATATTAATGCTGCGCATTATGGACACAAGCGATTTTCACCCATTTATTAATTACATGTTTTAAATTTGTACACACCAATTTGTTTCCTATTGCCTAAACCTCCAGGGCTGTACACAGTGTAATACTGTCAACTTCTAATTTTGGGGAAAAAGTCTTTTAAAACTACAATTCCCAGTAGAGACGTCCCATAGAGAACATGTTGCGAAACACAATAGCCAGCATGTGTAGTTCTGGGGGGGGCGTTCGAGTCCAGTTTTGGATAGTCTGCCGTGGTTTCGTTCCATTTCAAAGAGCTTGACGCTCGGCGTAACCTTGGCGCACTGCCACTCCAACATCCAATCCCAGAGCTTGAAGATTAATCACGGGGTTTGTCAACGGGACTGTAGTCCCAAACGATAGCTGGGGATTATGGGTAGTGTAGTGTCTTCGGCCATCCTAAACTCTGAATTTTTTTTCGGATATCATATCGCATTAACACCATATCCCAACGTGCATTGTGGCTAAAACATCCCGAGCTTCAAGCTGAGGATCTTGGGTAATCAGTTCAGTGGGTTTGTGTGTTCTTATTATACATCCATGTGAGAGATGCATTGTCTGGAACGTAAAAGGGACGAAGAAGATGAAGTGAAGTGACGTACTTCCGGTTCAACATGAAAACATTCCCAGTTAAACATGCAAAAACAAATCGCTAATTAAAAAGATAAAACACTGGCATGTAATTTACGTTAGAATAAATAGAATGGTTTTGAATAATAGATGAGAGTAAAATCTACGTCACTTTGCAGCCCCGCCCACTTTTGGGGAAACCAACGCTGTCATTTGAACGGCGATCAAGCCTGAAGCCACAGAGCTCTTCTTTGAATTCCCTTTCTTCTTAGAGGCAGGGGCGGATCTACCGGGGTGGCATGGGGTGGCAACTGCCACCCTAAACAATAGCCTTGCCACCCCAGCTGCCACCCCAGTTGGCATCTTTGTTTTGAAAGAAAAGTTGTGGCTCATCGGACATTTCTGAGAGAAAGTCTCTAATGTCCGAGTGCAAGTGAATGCAGCACAAGATGCACGTCATGTAACCCCTCCCCCGGTCCTGGCGCGAGAGTGGAAATATGATTGGTGGCGAATTCACTTGAACGGGGGGACGGCGCAAAATGAGAAGCCTTTCGGACCCAAGCACTGAAGGAATGAGGTGCGGTCTACAATGACAGAGAAGAGAATGTCAAGTTTGGCTGTACTCAGCATTGAATCAAAACGCACTACAGCTGTTGATCTTAATAAGTTTGTGAGGCGTTTTGCTGAACAAAATAGTAATCGCCGCATTCAGCTGTAATAGACATGCCAACTTGATGCTCTGCTCACGGATGACTCGATGAGAATAACAAACTGTTAAGATGATGACCTTGTATGCGTGTATATCTTTTTTTCTTTGAGGGGGTCTGCCCCCAAAAAACAGTTTTAAGTCCTGAGAAAGTAAAATAAGACGGTGTGTAAAACTACACTGCCCAGCCAACAGAAAGTAACCACTTTGATTTAACTAGGCCAGTAGGTAAGGACTTTCCACTGGATAATAACTGCAGCGATGTTTTAGCTGAATACACGTTTTTTAACCCTAACTGATGCAGTTAGTCACTTCTTTAATGTTTGTTCTTTCTGATGTAAAGTCAAGGTTGTAACTGTATATCAATAATGATATAATTACTTGTTTTTCAAATTTGAAGGAGGGTGAGCAAGCATCTTGATGAACATTCATCATTAACTCCTCCAAAAAATATAGTTTATTCAATAATAAATGAATATGTGAATCATACCAGTTCTTCACTATATCTGTAAAGCGTCTTTGAGCACCTGTAAAAACGCTAACAAATTAAATCTATTATTATTATTATTATTATTTATTAACAGTGATTGACAGCTGATAGGAATAATATGATTGTTAATAGTATCATATTCATTCAGACAAACATCGATGAGACAGTTAATTAATGTACTTATTGCAGCAGTCTGTATATATTTGGTACCCCTGCTGGTCTAAGAGTGAAACAAACTCATTCAGTTATTGTTCAGTTAAAATTCATTAAATTACGTCTGCCACCTTGTAAGGCTTTACTGATGTGCCATAATAATATCACCTATGTGATTGAGTTAAAATATTAATATTGTGGCTTTCCAAGTTAACATTGATTGTAGGGGTGTAACGGTTCACAAACATTTCGGTTCGGTACGTACCTCAGTTTTTAGGTCACGGTTCGGTTCGGTACGTTTTCGGTACAGCAGAAAAAATTATCACAAAACATTAAATATTTTTTTTAAATTATTATTAAACTGTGACTAATGTATTCAAATAAATACAAAATATAGTAAAATAAACATTAAGGTGCAGCATTTCGATGAACTGAAATAATCTGTATTTGAACTGTACTAGTACCTAAGCAGCCAGTTTGACATTAGGACTTGCTTGTCATTGTATTTTCATGTTGTTTAAAGAAAGATGAACTTGTCCACATTGCTTGCTGAAAGGGCAGATCTGCTGACACTAACAATGTCTCCTGCTGTGGAGAACACCCTCTCTAGGGACAGAGGTAGCAGATACAGCCAGGTAGCGCTTTGCTAGCATGGCAACATAAGGATATTTGGCGTTTGTAATAGCTTTGGCTCGGTCTGAACTCTGCGAGTGGTGGAGGCTTAAATGCTAGTGGGAGTTGGGTTTGCACTTCAGTCTTTTTTCTTTTGGTACCGGTGATATTCACGTTCGGTGATGCCTTTTCAAGAGTGTGATGTATTGCCAGCCGCGTAACCAATGTTAGTTGAACAATGCCGACTAACAGCTTTGGTTCGGTCCACCTGTCTTTGTCCGTCATCCTTGTACGTAACTGCGAAACCAAAATGTTTCCAAACCGGAGACTTCAATGATGCTGGAGGATTTTCAGCTCAACTTTATCTGCGTTCGCCGTTTCCTCAAATTACTGACTACATTTGAACGCATCCCTGTGACCAGCTCTCATAGTATGCCTCTCGTCCAATGAAATGACTTGGTCGCTCTATGATATAGATTACTTCCAGAAAGTTGTTCATGTTCTCAATTTTTTACGTTTAACGCTATATTCGTTCGGTACACACGTGTACCGAACCGAAGGGCCCGTACCGAATAATTTCAATACGGGTACACCCCTAATTGATTGATATGATTGCGATTTAAATCAGCATATACTTCTGTCAGGGGATGCCACCCCTCAAAATCTCCTGCCACCCTCTTGCCACCCCATGAATATTTGTCTAGATCCGCCCCTGCTTAGAGGAAATACAGAAACACGTAACTCTGGATTTGTTTTAATGTTTGAGGTGCAATAAACGACACAGCAGCTTTTTGGCATGTTAAAAATATTATTTTCTGTCTCGCTCATGAGAGTAACAGCTGGAGAAATTACAGCCTCACCTACTGATTTTAATTTAACCATATATCGAGCCCGATTCTCGATTTCAAATGTGTGCTCTAAAATTATATTTATAAATGACTATTATCATTGTTATAAGCAAGACAATAAATGGCAAAGATATGTAGAAAATAAACGTATTTGAGATACGTTCATAACAAACGTAACGTGGGAGAAAATACGTTTCTAGAAGATATGGAGAAAATATGTTTCTAGAAGATATGTAGAAAATAAACGTATTTGAGATACGTTCATAATAAACGTAACGTGGGAGAAAATACGTTTCTAGCTAAACGTAATTGAGAATGCAATTTAGTTCTGTGGGAACGTAATTTTTAGGAGACAGGGTTGCAATGGGAATGGTTAGCGTATCATATGCACACAAAATCGTACTTCTGCGTATCTATTGCACATGTAAAGTCGTGTCATTTGTACGCAGACTGAAGAGAGTGGGTTGCTTTAAACACAAATCTCTCAATTATTTTAGATTGGGTCTTTCTTCTTTAAGGCCAAAGCTTTTCTCTGCTGAAAAGTAGGCTGGTTCTTCTTTTGGTTCCACTGGCACATCAGAATATCCCTGAAAGTGGTCCTGAAGGTCTTGTTACACAGGGCGTAGCAGATGGGATTGATTGTGCTGTTAACGTAACACAGCCAGTAGCCCAGTGACCAAAGGGTTTCTGGAATACAGTTGGTACAGAAAGTGCTGACCAGCACCATGATGTTGTATGGTAACCATGTGGTGATGAAGACCACGAGGATGGCACTGAGTGTCCGAGCTGCTTTATTTTCATTTGCCTTTTTTTCATTCTTGCGCTTGTTGATCTCTGTCTTGGCCTTGGAGGCGAAGCGTTTTGCCATCGCCGCATCCTTCATGGTGATAGCTGCAGGTGATTGGGAGGCAGGGTTGGTTTGGGACTCTTTCCGACCTTTGTTGGACGATGACTGTTTGTCCTTGTTGTTCTTTCCCTTTCTAGATTCCTTACCACCTAGAGAGATAGACATATGTATAATTGTGTTATTCATATTAAGTTGAACACTCGATTCTGATCCTGATTCCAATTGTTCACTTTTCCTAACGCTGATAGGAAGAGGAAATCATGGACAGGAACTATGTGCAGTCATATCAATCCGCAGAAAAAAGTGAGATACATTTCACGTTAGCTCAGGCCAGGGCAACAATTTAGTTTATTGATTCGTTTTTTTCCATCAGAAAACATAGTGGAATACTTTTTGAATATTCATTTTTAAACTTGTGGAGGTTATTACACTTTTTATTCATTATGGCTAAACTGTCCCCAGAAAAGGAAAAAAAACAGCGCAAGGAACGAGGTTAAAAGACGGAGTGCTGGATGTCAGAGAAAAGAACAGCAGAAGAAGACGGACAGTAAGTAAACACTAACGGGAACAGCAGAAGAGGACAGACAGGAAATAAACACTAAAGGGAATAGCAAAAGAAGACAGACAGGATGTAAACACTAACGGGAAAAGCAGAAGAAGACAGACAGCAAGTTAACACTGACCCCGGGGATTCCATCGGTCCGTCTGCGCCGCAATTTTGGTCCGACCTCCTCCAGCGTCATACCCAACCGGGCGCGTTTCAGAAGCGGAGCGTCTTGCGTGCCGGCTCGCAGTTTTTGTTGATTTGGGCATATTTCCTGGACAGGCTACTTTGTACAGACAAAGTTAATAATAATTGTAATAGTCCAGTTATAAACGACATGAATCAAAGATGTGTTGCTGTATTTTAGTGGTAAAAAAATGCATTCATCATCATAAATATTCTATATATAATGTACACAGTGCCTGAAACCGGAGGAGAACGCTGGCATTTATTCTCCTACTTGAAAGATTACGGTACGGAGGGAAAGGGTCTGCAAAATGTGTTTATTTTGGGGATTGACTGGATGCTCTGACCGTTCCTGCCCGGCGCTATGCAACGCCTCGCGATGAAAATAACGCTGTGCAGACGGACCCGGTGTAATCTAGGGGTAAAGGGAACAGCAGAAGAAGACAGACAGGAAGTAAATACTAACGGGAACAGCAGAAGAAGACAGACAGGAAGGAAACACAAACAGGAACATGGTATGGGCTCTGGCTCTGGCAGAGTTGAAAGACTTGTGAACGCACTTGGAAAGTTACAGAAAACCTCGATCAGTACATATAAACGGTATCAGTGGCGGCCGGCCCATAGGGGCGCTAGGGGCGCAGCCCCCCTCTTCCCACATGTTTGATTGTCATTCAAAATTAAATGAAAAATATATTTAAACATTTAAAAAAAATTAAAAGGTAAATATTATATAGTTGGTCTGGGTAAAATGTATAATCTAAAATAAAATCTCGTTTAAAATTGTGTTACGATGTCTAAAGTTACTGATAAGTCACATGTTTCCTGCCTGGCCGCAGCGTGTATCATTACCCTCTCTCGTCTGGGCACTAAGAAAGGAGCCCTCACTCAGCCCCAGCAGCATCTAACACATCGCTGACTGTTGCTATCTGTAAACTATGCCGCCAAAACATAATTTCAGCCAATCAGCGTCGTCAGATCTGATGCTCAAAGGGGGGCAATTTCAGTGCCCGATGCAGTCTGTGAGTTGGTTATGACTAGAAAGGATCCGTCTTGTGTAAAACTCTCGCGAGAGTTTGCGAGTCACGTGGCTGAATGTTTACGTTTGACAGGCAGCCTTTCAGTTACTATCGTTAACATCAGTGGGCCACAGCAAATGATGGTGAGAAGCTAAACTATCTATTTATGTCAATTACAAGGAGTGTGATTGTAACTGTGTGTGTGACTAGCTGGATGCAAACAGGTAAACGCTGTCTTTTGTTTCCCATGCTTGCTCTTCAAACAGCCGGGGACAGATACTATGCGCCCGTGATAAATACACACACACACACACACACACACACACACACACACACACACACACACACACACACACACACACACACACACACACACACACACACACACACACACACACACACACACACACACACACACACACACACACACACACACACACACACACACACACACACACACACACACACACACACACACACACACACACACACACACACACACACACACACACACACACACACACACACACACACACACACACACACACACACACACACACACACACACACACACACACACACACACACACACACACACACACACACACACACACACACACACACACACACACATATTATTGTATATAGTTGAGTTTTGACAGCTTCCATCAAACTAGATTATTTGCCTTAATGGTCTGTTTTCTAATATTTCTGTGTTTCTGAACCACGTCTGTGTCTGCATATAATGTTCGTATTTAGTCTCCTCATTTTGAGTGTTCCCAAAGAACCGGTGTTCTGCAGTATGTGTGGGCCTACTGTACTGTTGCACAGTTTACTGTAGAAACTATGTCCAGGACAAGGTATTTGGAAGTTTTGGAAGATTCATAGCTAACCACACTGAAGATTATGGAGGTATTGATCAGTCTTCTCATATCTCTAACATCACCAGAAGTCATAATTTAAGGGGTCATTTCTCAAAATGTTCCCCGTGTGGTTTATTCACCATTACAATAGCCCCACCTAAAATAATTTCCACCAGCCGCCACTGAACGGTATGTATATGTATTAGTTTAAATCCACACCTTCAGCCTCGTCGTCTGAACCGGACTGGTCCCCAGAGCCACCGGCTTTAATGTTGAGGCTTTCACTGCTGCTCTGCTCTGCTTCGCCCACAGTAGTTATCGTGGTGTTGACGGACCTTTTGAATGCATGGCGACCTGGCAACAGTGATGAAAACTGGAAGCAGCACGATGAGCCACACCTCCCTCTGCTTCCTGTTCCTCCTGCCATGCTGGTATTTTCCTTGTTGTTCTTCTCAGAAGCCGGCTGGTTAAGTTCATCGCTGCTGCAGCTCATTTGGCGTTGCATGGCTGATGAATCCCTCTGGCTGTTAGTCGCACCTTCTCCACCAACTTTCCCACTGCCACTTCCTTGATTCTGAGCCTGGCTTGAGCTTTTGCCAACTCCAGCTCCCCTGAGACTTTGCATATCTTTATTACGTTTTTCTGTCTCCTGATATATCTTCCAAAACAGGAATGTCATAATACTTACTGGCAAGTAGAAAGCAGCAATAGCAGTGCAGAATGTGATAATTGGCTCAGACAGGAACTGGATGTAGCAATGATTGGGCGTAACGGTTCGCTCACCCACGATATACTGCCAGAACAGGATGGCTGGGGCCCAGAGAATGAAAGAGATGGACCAGGCTAATCCTATCATGGTCATGGCTCGCTTGGTTGTGCGCTTGGCCCGGTATGTCAGAGGTCTGGTAACAGAGAAATACCTAAAAGAAAGAAAGAAGAACTGTACACATACACAGTAACTGTAACTGTACCATGCATTACTGTTTACCACATTGTCTCTGCTGATAGTACCATAAAGAGTCAGAATATTCCAAACAATGGAAATGAAATGCAAATGTTCCTATTGGATACACATTCATCACAAAATAGTCTGATAGTGATGATCTATCCTAGTTATACCTTCTTACAACTGACCCTCTATCAGATTGTGCATCTCAAGGAGAGAATTTATATTTTTTAAATCAACATATCTCTTTGAATAGTACCAACAGTATATGATCTTGTCTATAACATTTACAGTTTATCAACACAAATAAAACAAGTTCTGTTTTTTTACCTGTCAAAGCTGATAACAAGCAGGTTCATGACTGAGGCGTTACTTGCCACATAGTCTATTGCGAGCCACAAGTCACAGACCACCGGCCCCAGGGCCCACTGGTTCATGATGATGTAGGTGGTGTACAGGTTCATTGACAGGGTGCCGATAGTCAGGTCAGCAAATGCTAGGCTAAGCAGGTAGTAGTTGTTCACTGTCTTCAGTGCCTTATTGATCTTGAATGACACCATCACTAGGATGTTGCCAACAACCGTGACAATAGAAAGTGATCCAGTGAGGAAGACGATAACAAGGACCTGAAGAGGAAGAGGTAAAGAGAGAAGACAACCAAAGAGGGCGGTTTAGTGCATTAAGTTATTTATTTGTTAATGTCTCAAAGGGACTCAAAATCCCAACACATAATCCTCATTTAGTGTTAGCTTTATCAAATGTAAGTAACATCATTATTATCTTTTGAAAAATCAGACTTAGCTGGGAAAGAAAATGCACCTCTGACAGAAATAATTCACCTACTATATGCTGACAAAGTTTGCTGACACATTTCAAAGAGTCTTGAGTGTTTCTTCTCTGGGCATTTCTGAAGCAGAAGTATTACAACTTTAGCAGTTATGATACAAAATATGACAAATCACTGACACAACCACGGCTTGCTTCTACTAAATAATATTGCCTATACCCAATAATATCATTCTGCTGCTTTACTTTTCACCTAATAATTTAATGACTACCTGTCATGAAGAAATTGGATGTTAGTAGAGGTGCACCACAAGGTTCTACTCTGGGTCACATTCACCATCGATACAAATAAAATAAAGTAATGACTGCCACCACGCAACATTTCTGTGTAGACAATAATGTTTTATATGCCATAGATGCATCCCAAATGATGGTTTTCATCTTTCTATTATTAAACATTAGCTTGTTTTAATGAAAATGAATGGATAGGTGACTGAAATGTACCAGACTAATGGAAGTACTTAGATAACACAGAAAGACTCAGGTCAATAATAATTTCAGTCTAATAGCTTCCCACAGATGCAAAGTTTACCTTGGAACCACAACTATAAGCGAGCGGTTTAAATGAGCCATACATCCCCTGGAGTGTTGAAGCATCCATGTGTGGGGCATTGCTGAATGTTTCTCTGGTCTAGAATAAGCCGCTTCTAAAGCCATGGAATTTACACAATGACCCCACAAAACTTCCATGCCTAAATGTAGGCAAAACAACCATGGTAAGCAATATAAAATATCGATTATTGTTGTTTATTTATGTCAACACTTGAATGTGCACTAATTTTTTGTTAATGAGTTATTCAAGAATAAAGGTTCACTAAAGCAATTAAAATCACAGTTGGTTGTTACCTGTAAGACAGTATGTCCTCCTAACGGGTCGAACTCCTCTGCTGGCAGCATTAATGTTGGGTTCCCTGGTGAATCAGTGTAGTTTCCTTCTGGTCCTGACAGATGACTGACATTATGCTGCTTCCAACCACCAACACTGTCAGACAGTACGGCCAACCCCTGATAAGAACCACCTGAAGATGTGGAGAAACATATTTTTCAAACCACAATTCAACGCAGCACATCAAAGATGATTTCCCTTTAATAAAAACATTCTGAAAGGCTAACTATACTTTTGATCTGAGTTTTGGAGTCTACAATTACTGTTCCTGAAAAGCAGGAGGAGTTTCATACAATTCTAAAACAAATGTATCAAATGACTTAGCTGTGCATTTTCTCAGCAATATTTGGCTTAAATCGTAGAGAGCTTTCCAAGTCCATTTTAATTATATTTTATCAAGATGATTTTATTATTAATCTTTGAATATATAAGGTGTTAAAAAGCTAAGTGCTGTAGTGTTGTGTAATACCCAAAATGGCAGGCTCATTCATGGTGGTGAGGAAGTGGGGAGAGTCAGAACTGGAGGTCAGGTTTATGATGACCGATGGACATCTTTGAGAAAATAGAAGAAATAAGGATTATTTGTCTTCATTTCTTTCATTTTATGTCTACATGAAACAAAAAGTCCCTGACACAAACAGAAGACCACACATCATCACTACAGGATTCTGTAGTGATGATGTGAACGTTCTGTCATGATGACAATCCTCTGCTCCCATTGCATTGCTGGTTCTGGCATAGATTAGCATAGCCTGTAAAGAATAGATGACATTACTAATACAGGCTGTACTAATTAAAGCCAGAACCATCACATCTCCTCAGGAAGGGTCTTCAGCTCTGATGTGTCCTTCTGGAGAACAGAGGGGTTTGCTGGACTGCATTCCTACAAAAACAAATGTAACAAATGAAAACTGTAGGAGCCATGAAACTCATTTTTGATTTCAGACAATTGGAACCAGGCCCAACCTCACCCTCTCAGCGACTGTTTGTTCCCTCAAGTCGCTACATTAACAAGCACCGAAAAAATATTTCAATGTTAAATAAATAAAATAAGTGAAGGTTTAAATTGTGACCCAATGTTAAAAATGGAAAAAATGGAATCAAAACTATGTGTGTCATTTCATTATTGTTTTTCCTGACAGTTTACTATTTTTATTTTTGTTTCAGGATGTATGTGTCTCAATAAATCCTTTGAACAAAGTCTTACTGACCTTTACTGACACAAAAAGATCATACAAGTGTTCTGTTTCCCATGCCAAATCTTGGTGTGCAGTGTCAGGGACCCAGCTTGTACTCATTATGTTGGAAGTGACATACATACAAAGAAAAGAAAAGAATATCCAATGAACACAAACACAACTGAAACAGTGCTAGCTCAGATGAGCAAAGATATCAAGAAAGAAACCTAAAAGAGAATAAGCCAAGTCCACCTTGATTTTAGAAGACTAAATAAGATTGAAATCTCAAGCTACATTTATGGAAATGCAAACCTTCTTTGCCAATGTTTTACAATGCAGCAGAAATCATGTTCTGTCACAAGCCATGACATCTCAAATTAGTTCATACTAAATTATTTTCTTTGATCTAAGCTCATGCATTTTCCTTGTATGTATGTGGAACTGCTACCCCCGCGACCCGACCAGGGATACGTGGGAGAAGATGGATGGATGGTGGTCAAATCAAAAGGCATCTTTCTATGGAGAGTTTGGATTTGAACCTTTGACCATGATTATGCTGGTGATTTGACTTTGCTTAATCAGGGACAGTGAAGAACGATTGGAGAAAGGAGAAACATTTCGGTTCAGAAGTCAACCAGGTTAGCTTCTGAACCTGAGGAGGGCACATGGACTGAACCTTCTTCTCTATCCAGTATTACAAGGCTCCCCTTGCCATCAAAGGTTCTATAGGGAGCAATGCATATTGCCAAGAGTGTAGCTTCAGGACTGTTGAAGCAGTGATGTTAAAATATCTCCGTCAATGTTGACCTTACCCCCCAAAATGGTCCTTTTGATAACAAATTCAGCTGATATTCTTCTGTAAAAACTCAATAGATGCTGAAAATATAAGATATTCAAGATTATTTTATAGTTTTCTGTGCCCTAAATGAATAAATAAACACACGGTTTAAAGGCTTCCTTAAAGGGATAATGCATAATCTTCAAAATGTATAAACTTGTCTTTATACTAGAGGAAATCACCAGTTTTGAGACTCACTTCCTGTTTTCTGGCTTTAAGAGAAAGTAACCCATGATCACAGAGAATGATTAATATTTCTTAAGCCCCATCATATTGGAACTCTTAATTAAGGTGGTGTTGGTCAACACATTCTCACTCCCAACTCGGCCTATGTTGACGTTATGTCAGGGTCCCTGTCGTCACTTTCCAACGCAAGGGGGGGACCTTTAGCGTCGGGTTTCAACTATCAGGGCGTCCCATTGACTTGCATAGAGCTCCCTGAACGTTGGTAATAGACGAGTTGGGATCGCGGCGAAATGCTCTCCGCAGATCCATTCTCACAGCGTTTATCAACCTTTTTCTTACTCAATATCAAGCCACACTTATTGTGTTTACTTCTTTATTTTTAATTGAATAATGTAGGACTTTTGTTGCCGTCAGGTATGGGGAGAGTAGGGGCTCAGAATACTGAAATCTGTATTATTTCATAGTTTTTTCCTTCTAATTTTGTATTATTTTCTAAACCACACACTGTTATTTACTCAACAATAACACATAATTATCCTTGTGTTTATTTATTTGTTTGATTGTATAATGTCGGACTTTGGAGTCCGTCAGGACCGAGGGTCGGAGCAGCTCATAGTAGTTGCTTAAGAGAATTTTACACCCGGAAGTAAGTATTCTCTCCGCTTTGCTCAAACCCTGTGATGAGTCCTCAAGCTCTGTGATTGGATGGTTTAGCCGCAATGCACGCTGGGATATGGTGTTTATGTGATGTGAAATCTGAAAACATTTTTAAAAAAAATATATATATATTTACTTTATTCCGAGTGTGCTTGCTTTTCTCTTTGGAAGTCATCACATAACGGCATTGTAATACACGGTTCGGCTGCATGAAATATTACATATCTGCCGTAGTTCTTTATTTATAGAGCCCTGATGAGAAGACTTCTAGACAAACATGAGGAACTGCCGCAGAAACTGAATATGTGACGTGGATCATAAATATATCAACAATTAAACAACATCTTCAATTTCTTTTCACACAATACGTCTCCTTGCAGTATCAACACTAATTCGGCTGACTTTTATATTTGATCCAATTGGTAGATAGGCTGTATTTACACCATAAAGGTGCACAGCTGATAGAAAGGGACACCTGGTGGTCAAAGCACGTTATTGAAATGTATTATTAGATATTAATAGGAGACACAGACAGACAAACTAATAAGGCTTTATTTAAACATTAAAGAATACTTTAGGTTAAGGTCTTATTTTGAATAAGAAAAAAGCTTAGGGGATATACATATTAAGCCTGACAAACTACTAATATATTGCTTTCCTGCAATGTTAACTACTGTATATTTAAGCACTTATTTTAACTGATATTATACATATGTATTATACTCTTATAAGATGTATGTAGATCAGGGATGGGCAAACGGTGGCCCCCACCTCCTCTTTTTGCGGCCCTCAGATGCATTTATAAACAACGTAATTAATTAAAAAATAAATAATTAATTAATCAATTGTTTTACTTGTAGTACTGATACCGTCCACTAGCCTCCTAGTTACGTTGTGAGCTGCGTATATGATTTCAAATACCGCGAAATAATCTGTGACGCGTTTGTGTGTATTGTGTTTGTTTCCCGAGGAAACACTAGAAACGCCGGCTGTTGTTATGCCTGCTGTGACGTTAAGTTACTGCTTGTAATTATGCCTTTACAAGCTTTAAAGTTGTATTTATCATCTGAATTTGGCGAAACAAGTTTAATATTCTAAAAACCAAGACTTTGTTTATTTGAAATCAGATGAAAACAAACTGTCACGGACCCTGCCGTGTTATATGATTAGCCTACTATACGCTTTTCATTCATAATTTCAGCGGGAGCGAGGGGGAGCAGGTTTGACAGGTGTCTGTGTTGATATTCCCCTCATTGTGGAACAAGGGTAATGCAGAGACAGGCTACAAGTGTCTTAGGTTCAAGTTAGACAACTAATGTCTGGGTTAGGGCTGCACGATATTGGAAAAAACTGACATTGCGATTTTTTGTCCCCCTGCGATATATAAAAACGGTCTTTTCTTCAATTCCTGTATGTTTTCATAGCGCAATATATTTCAAAAGGAAACAAATATGAACCAAAACATAGAATAATGCACTATGTTGTTGTTTCACTGGCCGGACTTTGAAGAAGCGGTCAACGGTGCCAGGGAGCTCAGTGTTGTCATTGAAATGGACAACCCTTTTCAGCCGCCTGAACCTCTTTGACAACATCAGGTTGGCAACTTGAGGGTCTCTGGTCTCCATGGTCCAGTAATCTTCAACAGCTGGGAGCTCAGCAATCCCCATATACATGAGGATGGTCAGAAAGGTGAGGGAGGCGCACGTGAATTGTTGTTACGGAAACAGAGGGGTTTTAGGTTGCCATAAGGCTGTTGACGGTCTTATTATAGTCTACATCCATTGGTTGGTTTTGTGGCACATTTGTAACGCTGTGCCAACTTGGGCAAGCACGCAGGCAAACTTGAGGAGCGCACACAGGGTGGAGAGGTGGAGTGAGGTTGAGCAATGGAGAGAAAGGGAGAGAGAGAGATTGAGCGAGGCAGAGAGCATGTGCAGCGGTCTGCTTGCGCACAGAGCAGGAGTTTGTGAGAGAGCCGGCTTGAGAGTCAATTTCTCTTCAAAATATAATTGATTGCCAGCCTCCCTTGTCCCTGGCTGGCTTGCTCGCTCGTTGGTAACGTAACTGATGTCTTCTAATGTGCCTGCATCTGGCGCTGAGTTGCCATATTCCTTTCATGAACCACTTCCTGATATCCATTGTTGCAGATAAATATAAATGATAATAGCCAAACTAACCTAGCAAGAGTAAACTGACAGGCTGCTGTGCCGCATCTCACTCAAAAACCCACACGACTCAACCCAGCGAAAAACCAGTCTCGCGCGCAGCCTTTCATTCAGAATTTCATTCAGAATTTCATAACAAAATTAAAAAAAATGATATTAAACTAATCTTTCAACATAGTTTAAAACAAAAATAAATATTAGGACAAAGCCCTACAAATAACAACAATAAACATAATCAGTGGCGGCTCCAGAGTGTTTGTGTTGGGTAATCTATGGTAGGGCTAACCCATACAGTGGTGGGGCTCAAGTCAGTATTTGCAATGTAATTACATACACGCTCCCTCTTGACAGTGAAACGCCACGCGTGAGGTTTAGATTATTTCCCTGTCTCAATCCAAATTGAACTGTATGAAATAAAAAGGCACATTTGTCTTGTAGTAAATAAAAAGGGCGACCTGGAGCCAATCCTGCAATTTCCCCACAAGTGAAAGAGTTGACATGCTGAAAACCCAACCCCTGCAGGGGGGTCTGGGGGGATTCTCCCCCAGGAGATCTTTTGAAATACTAACATAAAATACATATTCTGGTACTCTCTTGAGAAGAAAAATAAATACATCTATTACTACGAGACACATTTAAAAAAAATGAATGCCATTTTAGTTTTTTGTTACTTTGTTCTGAAAGCTGAACCTGCTGCTCCTCACAGAGAGAAGAGGGAAGAGGCTGTGAATGACTTTACATTGTGGATAAGGGTGGATAGCCCCCATTGTTCTGCGTGTCAAAATGAAAGACAGCCCACACACCTATCAATCATCAAACCGTGGGGTCTTATTTCATTACGTGTTGATTTCTATCAACACGTAATGTTGTATCGATGTATATAGAGATTTACTACAGCAAAAGTATTCTCCGTCGGGACTTCCTGCAACAACACCACGCCGTTATCTTGATTCTGATTGGCCAGAAGACATTATCAAAGATGTTCTATTGAGAAGACGATCACTACGTGACAAAAGTTTTCAAAACCATTTCTAGTCTTCGGTATTTCCAGACAAGTGACTGCTGAAATCAATCTTAACTGCTGTCTGTGCAATTTACTCTGCGCGAGTTTGAGTATGGGCGGCGGGTGCTGTTGGCTAGGGAAGGCTAAGCCTTCCCAAATATTTGTGTCACTGCATCCTGGTAAAATACAAATATAATGTTTAATGTTTGTGTCTTTGACATTAGCGCTGCTATGCAGCTACCTGTGCCCTGTACTACGAAGCCAGTTCAACAGACCCTGGATATGTTTGAGTTATCTTAACTAACCCTAACAAACGAGATCTCGCTAAGCGGTCCTCCGACGCTGGTTATCAACTCGGTAAATCAAGCCCTGGGTTGCGTTCGGATAGTTTAAAATTCAGCTCCTAAGTTCTAACCCTATCTCCTATTCCTTGACCTCTGAGTGAAACATCACAGGGTTAAGGGATAGTGGATAGGAGAATTCAAAAGGATTTAGGAGAAGACTGCGGTGCTTTAGAGAATCCGACTGCACTTTCACTATCCGACGTGTTTATGATGCGCCAGCGGACGTCATTGATGTGCGTCTGCTGCTGTGGGGAAACTATGGAAACTACAGTTTTCTATACAGCGGACTACAACATGGATGTTTAATAAGAACGAGGGACTACTGTAAACTCATCTAGAGACTCTGCACCGTGCTCTGATGCTGTTGCTTTGCTTTATGAACGTGGACAACAGAGAAACATATTCTTCATGACCAAAGTTGGAATTGAAATAAAAAAGGAAAGTGAAACTTATGCTCGTCACCCTCTCCCTCCGCTCTACATTAAAACAAAAAATGATCCCAGTATGATTGTATGAACTATCAAAATATCTTAAAATCAATACAAATGTATTTATAAACGTTAGTCTTTAACACCTATCACTGTGTATCCCATTCAAACATCTTTTAAAAGTTGAACAACCCCACACAGCTCAGTGAAATGTTGACTTGATTTGATCATTTCAGTAAAAACTAACTTTATATTTCTCTTTTTGATTATAATACTGATGAACGTTCAAAACAAAGCACTTTGGCAACTTACCACATACGTTTTAAAAAGCTTAATAAGCACCGTAACTTTCATGATATAATTTCTCCGTCATAATCGATTGTTTCCGTGAACGGGCGACTGCTGTGTGACGTCAAATGCTGCGGCTGCAAGGCATTGTGGGGCAGCATTTTCTCCTCTTCTTTCGGTTAGGGAGGTCCAGTGGTTTCTAAGCTAAAGGAGGTTATAAAGGAAGTTTGAAACCTCCTTTCCTTTCATTCTAGAGAATTCGAACGGCACTTATCATGGCTGCCAGTGAGGGACTTCCGGGTCATCTCACTCCGTTAGGAAGGTTCCTAAGCTAAACGGACTATTCGACTGCAGCCAGGGTTTCTCTCTCCAGCTGAGAACGCGTTCACGTGAAAGGGGCGGGGTTAGCTACATTTGACCAATCACAATCAGGGACAAGTGTACTGACAGCGCAGCGTCATACTTCATTAATAAAAAATAAACTAATATTAGACAAATATGAACTTTAAACATCCATGACTTAAACATATAATCCAGGATACAAGCCACAGAGCTGCACCTGCAAGGTGAATACAGAACAACTCGTTACAAAATAACTACAGTGTTTGAAAGCGTACAACAGTTTTACGATATCACTGCCCCATCTAAGACACGAGTGGATCTGACTTTAATTACTTAATGTGTTGCTTAAAATAATACGTCTGCATACAGTATATGTGACAATGTAAGTGTTGCACGGCCAGATACGGCTCGAGAAGCTGACTCAGATAAGGAAATATTGTGATATTATATGATCGGTGATCTGATTGATGATGTGATATCAGTGTGATATGAATGATAAGTGCGACACGTCGGCGTCTTCTCTGCATACGGCAGTTTAAACTGTATTTCCTTTATCCTGTAATATGACTTGATAGATTTAAACTCCGCACACTGAGCTCTGATCGGTCAGCAGGCGGTGCTTTCACTGAGTTGATCTCTTTTCTATAGACGCCGGAGGCGGGCAGCGTCAGGTAAAAAAAAGTTATTTAGCCTTCCCAAACCTGAGCCTCACGCGCCGCCTATGGTTGGCGGACTTTATTTAGCTTACTTTAACATCATTTTTTATGGCCATTTCTTGGTATGGCTGTAGCCTACCCCAGTATACCCTGGCGCCGCCACTGAACATAATAATAAAACAATTAAAATGTTGTATTCAGCCCTGATTAAAACAGCGGGCCCAAATCCTGGATGGGCGGGCCCGGCCCGGCCCACATGCATGACGCCGGGTCTGCGTACAAGTTAGTTTGGTACGTGCAGTGGCGGCGGGTCATTAGGGGCAGGTGGGGCACAGCCCCACCTAGTGTCAGAAGAAAGTATTACAAATAATGATTACAAAAAAATACTAAAAAATAAATAAAAAAACATATAAAATATATTTTAAGGTCATGTTTAATAATCTGATTCGTCTGTACATTTCTGTTTTAGTCTGTGTTCTTCTAATTAGTGTCTAGAGTGCCGTTTTGAGCTGTTTAGAGCCATGTGGGACAAAACCCGATCCTGCCCCTCCCTCTCACAGTCTAAGTGAACGGTGATTGTAAAAACTACACTGCGCATGCTCAGAGTATTTTTCTATTTAATGTGTGTGGCAAAAAAATAATGACCGTAGGGGCATAGTGCTCCCATCCCCACCATACGTCATCTCACATAATTCAGAATTGATTGGCTGTAAGTACTCACGTGTGCAGTGCTGCGAAACGTCACGTGTAGTTTGAAGAGGAGACGAGAGAGCAGCATATAGCTAACATCACCAGCGATTAAAAGAAGTAAAAAACTGAAAGAAAATGAATGAAGTTGACCATTTACTGGAGCACACATTTGAGACACTTAGTCTCGGAGAGAAACTGGAGGTAAAGCGCCTCGGTGCCCACCATCCACCGGATTTCCAAATGGTCCAGACTGCGGGCAAAGTTAAACGTGGGTTTAACGCTGAGTGGTTTGCTAAAAAGAAATGGCTAACGGCGAGCATCCAGAAGAATTCCCTCTTTTGCTTTCCTTGCCTGCTTTTTGGTGAAGATCAAGGTACTTGGTCGAGGACAGGTTACAAGGACTTAAAGCATCTTTCGGAGAGGACAATGAAGCATGAGAGCAGCAACAGTCATTTGGAAAATGCCGTAAAATTGGGATTACTTGGAAGGGTGAATGTTGCAGCTCAGATTGACAGCGCCTACAGACGCGGCATTGATTCTCATAATAGGAAGGTGGAAGAAAACAGGTACGTGCTTGGTCGGATCATCACCTGTATTAAACTGTGTGGGAAATGTGAGACAGCACTGCGGGGCCACAACGAGTCGGCGGACTCTCTGAATCCAGGGAGATTCAGGTCAATTTTCGAGACAATGTGTGAGGGCGATTCCAGGCTTCAACGGCACTACGAAGCTCAGCTTGTTTTCAAAGGGACATCAAGCACCATACAGAATGAACTCTTGGACTGCATGTATGATGTGTACAGCGAGGAAATAGCCAAGCAAGTGGACAACACATCATATGTTGCCGTTCAGGCCGACGAGACAACCGATGTCTCCTGTAAATCGCAAATGGTGATTGTGCTGCGATACATTATGCCTGACCTCACAGTTACAGAGCGTTTTTTGGAGTTTGTGGAAGTAAAGGACAAAACTGGTGTAGGTCTCTCTAACAGCATCAAGGCTGTTCTGGAACCCCTGAAGCTGAAAGAAAAGCTAATCGCTCAGACCTATGACGGGGCGGCCGTCATGAGCGGTAACGTGCGCGGGGTACAGACGGTGATGAAGGAGACGTACCCAAACGCTCAGTTTGTTCACTGCTACGCCCACCAACTGAACCTGACCCTGCAGCAACTGTGTTCAGCAAGGATGAGCATCCTGAAGGTGTTTTTTGCAGATCTAACTGCTTTTTCCACTTTTTTCTCCGGTGCTCCAAAACGTGTTGCAGCTCTTGCAGAGGCAACACAGAGACGCATCCCACGGCCACCGGCTGTGAGATGGAACTTTAAAAGCAGAACTGGGAACGCGGTTTGGGAGACCCGAGATGCACTACTTCAGTGTATGAAGCATATACGCGCACAACCAGGATGGGATGCGGTCACCATAAGTGAGGCATACGGCCTGTCAAAGAAACTGCGGGACCGAGCATTTATGCAGCTCCTGGAGTTTTTTTCGTTGCTTATGCCAGAAGTGGATGTTCTATACAACACTCTGCAAAAACGAAGCATCGATGCACCTGGGATCAACAGCGCGCTTTGCCGTTTCAAGGAAAATGTTCAGAAAATGAGGCAGAAAACTGATGCATTGGCCGCCACTGCTCATGATGGAACAGACGAGCCAGGCCGACGAGTCAGCAGCACAGCGCCGGTGATGAAGGAGGCTTGTGACACAGTTATCTCACAGGTGGAACAGAGGTTCTCACAGAGTGACCATTTGATCGCTGCAAAGCTTGTTGACAGCTCATTCTTCCCACAGCATGTCCTGTCATTTCCTACACCTGAGCTTGACTGCGCCGTGAAACTGTGGCCTGCGTTGGGAAACAAGGAGAAGTTGAAGTCTGAGCTGACCACGCTCTACCGCCACAGTGAGCTTCACACTGGAAACACTGCCCTGTCTCTGTTGAAATCCATTCACGAGAACAACTTGGAGGAAACGTTTGCTGAGACTGTTATTTTGGTCAAAATAATAGTGACAACTCCGATGACGACATCCGAGTCAGAGAGGAACTTTTCCACCCTCAAAAGGATAAAGACTTTCACTCGCAACACCATGGGACAGCCGCGACTTAACGCATTGGCCATGCTTTCAATTGAAAGCCAGTTGATCCAGCAACTACAGGACTTCATCCTCAAAGTGATAGACACATTCTGTCAGAGGAAGGACCGCCGTGCCGCTTTTCTTTTCAAGTGAGCCTTCAGCTTTGGTAAGTTCATTTATGTCATATATTTTGTTGATCTTCTGTGTTTTGCCTCTGCTGGATCGATTGATATTGTGACCTCGATGATGAGTGTCTGTGTTTTCCTTATGTTTACAGTCTATGGTGTTTTAATGCTAAAGCATTACGGTTGTTGTTATTGTTAAGAATTACTTTGTGATGGTGACCTTTACTCCATGTATGAAGGTGCATTACTATGACATCCCCACGCTGTGTACGTAAATGTATGCGCTCACAGTGTTGCTCCTGTGGTCTTCAGTATGTAATTTGACACTCCCCCTCTCTCTCTCTCCTCCCCCCCTCTCTCTGTCCCCCCTCTCTCTCTCCTCCCTCTCTCTGTCCCCCCCCTCTCTCTCTCTCTCTCTCTCTCCCCCGACCTCTTTCTGCCCCCCCAGTTTTTTACACCTAGAAACGCCACTGGGTACGTGATATGCCTAATAACGTCACAGATAGATCACAGAACAGTCTAACTTCATGGTCTAACTGATTTTCATAAAATGAATACATGGTCGTGGAAACGATGACATGCTCTGCTGTTACTCATCTGCAACTCCTGTGTCATTCCACACATCTTTATGACACAAATGCAATTTCTCCAAAAGGAAACACAATTGGTTAGTGTTGAGTAATGGCCTTCCGGTGTAATAAGCGGAGCAGACAGGAGGGGGCACTAACAGGCTGCTGAATGAGGACATCACACAGTCATGTACACTAGTGATGGGAATTCCGGCTCTTCTTGGTGAGCCGGATCATTTGGCTCGGCTCACCAAAAAGAGCCGGCTCTTTCGGCTCCCAAACGGCTCTTCAGTTTACCACATATTATACCTTTTAATTAAATCAAATATAGTAGCCCTGTTTTGACTAATGATTTATATGTGTACACATATGTCACTTAAATTATTCAATACATCCTTTGTACTGAAGTATTCAAAAGTAAAAATTACATCTTTAATATAAATGATTTGCTGTGGCCAATTGTTTTCATTGCATTTACAGACCCGTGCAACTCTCTGATACCACCCAATGAATGCATTGACTTGCTTGTAGAACCACACTACACAAAACAGATAGCAACACCTATAAAAACTATAGGTGTAATACTACTAACTGTATCGACCTATATAAACTATATAAATATAGTTTTTCTTTCAAAATACCAAAAAGATCCT